AGATTACAGATGTGGAAGCCTACAACGAACTCCTACCCTGACCCTAAACCCTAAACCCTAAACCCTAAACCCTAAACCCTAAACCCTAAACCCTAAACCCTAAACCCTAAACCCTAAACCCTAAACCCTGAACCTTGATTCCCGAAACATTAAACCCCTGAGGCGAGGCCCTAAACCCCCAAACCCTTAATGTAGGGGCTTTAAAAATTAGAATAGGGTTTTGGGGTACACTATACGATTTAATGAGGAACCCCCTAAATAGTATAGGTAATTATCTAGGCCTCTAGAGTAAACCCCCAAAGCCTAAACCCCTAAACCACGGTGCCTGGCGTTCGTGGCATCCCCGGCGTACCCGGCGCGATGGCAGGGAAGCCTCTTCGGGTTTAGGCGTTGGGGTAATAGTTCGAATAGGACATCACGTACATCATAGGTTAAATGACTGAGGTCAAGGAACGAAGAGGAACAGTGATTTGATTTTTTCAGGCTTCCTAACCAGTTTCTGTCTTGTACCAGTGCAAATGGAGACCCTTGAAAGCCAAAGAAGGGACTACAGGGTCCTTCTGGGCGACCAAGGGCTTTCAAGGAAACCCAACAGAGGGCGCGTACTTGAGGAATGTAGCTTCAAGCGGACTCCGGCTCCTAATCAGGCTGAAAGTACATTTAGGGTTTAGGGTTGAAGCCTGTAGTACCCTCAAAAACCCATCAGAATACCCCTGTTCGTAGCCTTTTGGCGTGCTTCGTTCCCGTAGCATCCTTGGTGGATTCGGGGGATCCCGCGTTTAGGGCTTAGGGTCTAGAGGGTCTTATAGGGGCCTTAATAATTAGAACAGGGTCCCTAGTATAGGTGTTTACCTAAGCCCGTATATTGGAATTTAAGGCCAACTTCCTTGATTCGAGCGGCATTGGGCTTTCTGGGTACCCTGAGCAACAAACAAGGCGCCTTGATAATTGGACAGCTTGGGCTAGATCATACGTACTACCTTAAGCACCCAAAACCTACTTTTTTGTAGCGTTCCTATAAATCCCATATTAGGGTTTATAATAAGAACCTACAAAAAAGTGGGTTTTGGGTTCTTAAGGTATATCTGAAACCAAGGAACCCTGGACCCCAAACCCCAAAATTCTAGGAATATCAATACCGACGCCCCTTTTTTTAGTGGGACTCTGGGGATAAAGATTTGTTTCGGCCCCTTGTTTCCGCCCCTGTTTTGCGTAACATAAACCCTAAACCTGAACTCCTAAACCCTCAACCTAAGCCCCTATACCCTCACGCCTAAACTCCTAAACCCTAAAACCCAAAGCCCAATACCCAAAACTCCTAAACCCTCCTAAACCTAAGCCCCCATACCCTAAACTGGCCTTAAAACCTGAACTCCTACGCCGGGCCTGGTGTGACCTTTGCGCGCTTTCGGCGAGGGGCGTCCGGCGCAGGAGCACCAAAAAGGGGCATCACGTCCTTTTCCTGCGTGTTTGGCGTGTTGTTCGGGCTTCCCTTGGCGGTTTATTTGGGTCCTTTTCTTGCTTTTTGCACCTTGTTTCAGTGTCAAGTGTTCTTAGGGTTTGGCATTTTTCAGGGTTAAGTGGCGGTTTAGTTGGGTCTTACGACTTGGGGGCTGGGAGTTCAGGGGTTTTTGGAATCAAGGGCTTTGGCTGTGGGGGTTCAGGGGTCAGGGTTTAGGGTTTAGGGTTTAGGGTTTCAGCTTCTGCATAGCCACGACAGCAGAGAGCATTGAACAGCTGTCGTGACAGCGATGGAGGCGAGCACATCTTGAAAGCCCAGTGCTGGCGCTAGAACGAGAAGCTATTCAGGGACTCCCACACAACCCTAAACCCTAAACCCCAGCCTGAGGGTCCGTGTATCCAAATAGTATATACTTTGGCCTTAATGTAGTCCTCATATAGGTACTTTGGGGCCAAAGTATATACTATTTGGGTACATGGACCCTTAGGGCCAAGCCCTTATACGAGATCCCAACACAAACCTAGGCCCTAAACCCCCAACGCTAGTACGAGACCCTGTTACATGGGGTTCAAGGGAGATCGGAGCCTCTCGGCAAAGGAGACGCGAGGCATGGTGAGATGTTGCACGTACTCTACGACGAAAGTACTCCAAAGCCTAAACCCTAAAATCTAAACCCTAAACCCCTAAACCCTAAACCTCAAACAAGAAGCCCAAACATCATCGCCCCGGCTCTCTGACGAGGAGCCTTGTGAAACTCTGTAGGGCCGCATAAGACGCCATAACAAGCCTTGTAATATAGGGGCCTTAATGATTAATACAGTTTTGGGGTATGTTGTACTTTAACTATAAGAAGGACCGCCAAAATAGCACTGGTCATATATATATATATATATATATAATATAATATGCACACACCCAAAGATGGCCCAACCAAGCCCTTAAAACATTTGTATACAAACAACGCGCAGTATCAAAACAACCTATCATGGTCCAAACCAAACCCTAAACCCCAAAGCCCGAACCCTAACAACCGAGCATGGTCAGGAAAGCATAGTATCTACTGCAGATCCCGATCATGGTAACCTCAACTACCTCAACCCCTCAACTTTAGACCCCAAACCCTAAAGCCACAAACCCTAAACCCTAGATCCCGAACCTTAGCTAAGTTCAGCCTCAGGGGCGCTGTGCTTTCGGCTCATGAATATAAGGGCCTGACGCATTACCGTTACTACACGTATTCCATTAGGGTTCCTGTTATGCTTATGCAATCTTATAATGTACCCAAGATGCTTTATGCACTTGTGGTTAAGGCCCCTATGTATTCTACCGTAAACCTCGAAACAACCGGTGCAACTCCTTCTGACGCACGGTTTAGGGTTTAGGGTTTAGGGTCTGTAGGAACCCTATTCTAACTGTTACTCGTTGGCTTATAAAGCCTTGGTAGAAGCCCTACGTATTCTCTAACCCTTAAAAGCCAAACCCTTATAGAAGTACCTGCATCGCCTTACTGGATTGAGCACCTTTAATACCATTGTGCTACGTTACTAGCCCTAACACCTAGCCCGAAACCTCTAAATCCCCTCACCTGACCTACGCCCTAAACCCCTAATCTCTAAACCCCTAAACAACAAAAGCCCCAAACCCTACAGCCGAAAACACTAAACCCTATACCCGACACCTCCAAAACCCTTGAACCCCCAAGGGTTAAACTTGGAAGCCTTTAAAACGAGCCCTGATAGATCCCTTGTAGATGCCGTTTGAAGGAACCCCCCTAAACCCTAAACCCTAAAACCCCAAAACCCTAAACCCTATAACCCTGAAGCCCTAAACCCTAAAAACCCTAAAACCTCTAAAAACCCTAAAACCCTAAAACCCCAAAACCCTGACCCTAAAACCCTAAAAAAACAACCCTTAAACCACAAAAAACCTAAAACTCTAAGCCCTAAAAGCCCTAAATAGTCCTATATAGCCCCCTAAACCCTAAAGCCTAAAACCCCTTAAAAACCCTAAACCCTAACACCTCTAAAAACCTCTAAAAACCCTCTATACCGGGGCCTCCTCCGAGGCCGTTTCGGTGCCTTCCTCGGCCACGGGGACCTCCGGGAATCCGCCGTCGGCCTCGCACGGCTTCTTGGGGGATCATGGAATACTTCACGGGTTTTAGGGTTTTAGGATTTTTATGGTTTTTAGGGTTTCAGGGTTGAGGGTTTTTAGGGATCTAGGGTTTAGGGTTTTAGGGTTTAGGGTTTAGGGGTTTAGGGTTTAGGGTTTTAGGGTTTTTAGGGTTTAGGGCTTCGTGATTTAGGGTTTAGGGGTTAGGGGTCTCGGGGCTTAGGGTTTAGAGGGTTCCTTCAAGGGATCTATTGTAAAGGATCCTGGGACTTCGTAGCTTAAAGGGTTCCGCAGAAGGTTGCTATCAGGGATCTGTAGGGTTTTAGGTCTTAAGGATTATGATCCTGGGGCTTTGCAACTTAAAAGGGTTCCTTAAAGGGATCTTTAAACGTTCTATAAGGAGGAGCTCAAGATTTACTTGGGGGATCATGGGACTTGGTAAGTAAGGATATAGGTACCTTAATTAGGGCTATGAAATATTCATGAGTAGTTATTATAGTTACCTTGTCTATAACCCAAGGTACTAAGTCCCATGATCCCTTAAGTAGGGTTGCAAAGGATGTTCACAAGGCCTTGCACGGGCTTGTCTGCGGATTTTGTAGCGTGTTAGCCAGGTTCTTTTCTTATTTGAGATGAGGGGTTCGTGAAACTTTGCTTCATATCTGTTTTTTTTGTAACTGGGGCTTTCGGGGATTTCAAACCGAATCGAAAAGTTGTCATACGGGCGTCAATAGAGGCTTCCAGGGCTTTCGGATCGGCGTTTGGGCTTGCTGTGCCTGCCCCCGCCCGCGGACGACTTCCTAAGACTTGAAGAGATTTGTCGGCTTTCATCGGGCTCGTTTCTGGCACTGATTTGGGGAAAAGCTACCATCACAAATCATTCAGACCTCTGTAGTCTATGGTTGCGAGTTGCAGGTTGTGTAAGAGTGTGGTGGAAGGTCTCTTCGACTTTGAGCAACGTCGGCCGCTTCCAGGTTCATCCAGCAGAACCATATGGGGTTTCTGAAAATAGGGGACCCTCGTATAGTACCCTATCCTTAGTATCAGGACCCCAAAACTAAGGTATTCCCTATTTTAGGAAACTCTCAAAGCACAAACCCATACAGAAATCGCCTAGTGCCGCCATTCCACCCTCCATGAACAACCCGATAAAACGGTTGATCCTTCAAACTCATCATAGGGACCCGTAGGCGGGTAGGGATGAGGGTAGGGACCATCCTTCCTGAACAAGGCCTTATTCGGTCCTTATTGCAAGTATTCAGGTCCCTACTACAGTCACTACCCCCCCCCCC